AATGCTTTTTCTGCATCTATTGAGATGATCATATGGTTTTTGTCCTTGACTCTGTTAATATAGTGTATTACATTTATTGATTTACAAATGTTGAGCCATCCTTGCATCCCTGGGATAAACTCGACTTGGTCAAGGTGTATGATCTTCTTGATGACCCTCTGTATTCTGTTTGCCAGTATCTTATTGAGGATTTTTGCATCTATGTTCATTAGGGAGATTGGCCTATAGTTCTCTTTTTGGGTTGGGTCTTTAAACCTGAGAATTTTGAATGTGTAACTATCACAAATGATAGAATGTCCTTCTGGCACACTTCCTAAAACTTTCCCTTGAAGAGAATGCAAACTAGATTATGGTGTCCACTTTGATTAAAGACAATTGTCAAAAAGGGGCTCAAGAGTGCTCACTTTGGCAGCACATATACTAAAAAAGGGGCTCAAGATAGAGACAAAGACACCTACTTTATTCATTAAAGACACGTAAGTTTACATGCCTTTTTTTTTTTTTTTTTGGTACCGGGGATTGAACTCGGGACCTTGTGCTTGCAAGGCAGGCGGAGGAACCACTGAGCTAAATCCCCGGCCACTACATGATATTTTTGAAGAGTTTGAATGAGACACTAACACTAACAAGGTCTTATATTTAAATATAAACAACATCAACTTAATTACCTGTAATAACTGAACCACATTTGGTGTTTTGTTGAACATTTCTTGAAGCTGATGGAGAATGGTATTGTGGCAGTTACTGCAACCTGAATTTGGGCCAACTGTTCCCAAAGAAATATGGAATTTCTGGTGGATGGAGTTCCACTGGATACTAATCTAAATGAAGAGATTGCATATTTCAGAAACACAAAATAACACATTCAAGTAGAAGATGAAATGTTAAAAGGCAAAGTGCTAAAGATCTAAATGAGGTCTTTTTTCCTTTTTTTTTCACAAATCTTTTCTTTTTGATTGTACAGATTAATGGGTTTTATTTTTGCAGATTTGTACATGTATATAACATACTTTGGTCATTTTCACCTCCTCATTACCCCTGTAAATGATGTCTTTTTTAAAAAAAAGAAGACTGGATTCAAACTCCAGATGTACTAGTAATATAGACCAGTATATTCCCTGAGCATGTGTGTTAGCCCTCTTCTACTAAATAGAACAGAAAGAGAAGGGGCTAAAGAAAAATAATTATTTTGTGGTACTGGGGACTGAATCCAGGAAATGTTCTACCTCTGAGCTATACCCCTGGATCTTTTTACTTTATTCATTCATTTATTCATTCATTCACTCATACATCTACCCATTCATTCATTTATTGAGACAGGGTCTTGCTAAGTCATCCAAGTTAGCCTTGAACTTGTGATCCTCCTGCTTCAGTCTCCTGAAGTGTCTGGGACTACACACATGAGCTACCATGTCCAGCAAGAAGAAATTTTGATTAAATTTTATTTGGTAAGTACCATTAGTGTTTATTTTTCACATTTCTCTTGAAGAACAGTCACTCTTACTGCCATCAACTAAGGAGTACTGTTACAAAGGAGAAGTAACATAGATAATGTATCCCAACATGAATACATTCAGTTAATACACTTTAAAACACACAGGTAATTTCTGACTTGATGTATAGGAGTCCAGAGAGAGGTTATCTGGTTGCATTTTTATACTAAATTTCTAAAACTTTATATGTGGAGAAAAAAATAATTAAGGAAATGTAGATTAGAAGGAGTAACCTCAAGATTAAGATAGGATCACACAATGATAACATTCATGTGACCCAAGCAAAGGCATACTATATTATTCACAGCCATTCACACATACTCCTGCTTACACTAATAACATTGCCAAATATTTTGGAAATCAGACATTACTTAGTCCAAAAACTCTTCAAGATCGTATACCTCATCAAAGAGGGTATTTTTAAAATTTTAAGGAATTAATTGTTATACTATACTATATTTATATCAACCAAGTCTTTAATATTTATAATTTTATCCCTGATTTGTACTTCAGTCCTTACTAAGACAGGTGCTGTGACCACTGAGCCATGGGGCCACACTTCAGTCTTTATTCATTTTAAGGCAGCTTCTATGTTTTGGGGGTTCTTGATTTTTAAAAGATTTGCAAGACAGGGACTGCAGAGTTTTAAAATCAGACTTACTGAGCTTCCCTTGGTGGTTCCATAACACAAGATAAGTTTTCGGTAATTATAAACACGAACTTCTGAGAAAATATTGAGATGAGCAGGTATATCTAAGCAAAATGGAAACAAATTTTTTAAAAACCTCTAAAATAAGTAGTGCTTTTTTTTTTTTTTTTTTTAAGGCAACAGCACAAATAGATAGTATGCTACAAAATGAGGCCAGGACAAGGAAGGGGACAGATACTGAAACAGTCCAGCAGAGTGGCTAGAGGGCTCCAATTCCAGTTCTGCCACTTACTTGTTATGTGGCCTTCAGCAATGTTCTTCTTATCTGTGACTTATTTGTAAAATGAGGAATATTAACTACCTCATAGGCGATTGTGAGGATTGAGGGAATTAACAGAAGTAAATGATATGGCAGATAGTAAGTAAGTAAGTACAGTACTACATTACAATAACATAGGTATGCACAGACAGATCTGAGTTTAAAAACTTCTAGAAACAAAAGAATTTAACAGTTGACTGTCTGGTGGAAGGAAATTGAAGTCTAGGATGAAAGGGACACATTTTTATTAAACATATTTTTTATAAACAATGCGCATTTTTTACTTCAAGTAAATAAAAGGAGAGGGGAGTAATTTAAAAGGAAGGTTATCACATGTACCTGGTAGAGAACGTGCAAATTCCAACACACACTCATATAATCGTGCAATGCTGTTCCAGTCATTAAGGAACATTTCAACCACTTTTCTACCACCAACAGGTTCAGACAACAGATTTTCATATGTCAGGTAAACATGCCGGGATGGTCCTACAGGATTAAAAGAGAAGATTAATAGTAATAAATACCAAAAAACTTTCACAAATATGCAAAGACAAAGTGTGTGAAACATCTCACCTTGCTCCCTGGTAGAAGTGCCATTAAGTGGACAGTTTGCAAACACTAACTCTGCCACCCATGTGCGGTTATTTCTACCTTGTAATCGGAAAGTGCAATCAAGAAGAGAGCGATCCAGAGCCTTTTGGGTTTCCTCATTTACACCCTTACAGGGAGGAATTCTGGTGATGAAAGATAGCATATGAAGTGTACTTTACACAGAAAGACAAGGCACAATGTACACAACGACAAGCAGGGTGTGACATGAGAGCTATAGTACAAATTTTACTTCCAGATACCTTTGGCAAAGGAGGGAACAATTTCACAGTAATTAATATTTATCCAATTTAACTCATATCAACCTGGATTAGGACCTCTCACTTTAACAAAGTAATGATTAATCATTATACATAATCCTGTTATTTAAAAAGACCACACATATAAAATGAAAATCAAGAATAGTGGTTCCACAAAATCAGAATATCCTCCAGAAAAAGCTAAGGTGAACGAAATACTTGTAAAGCTACTCTTTGAAGACAGGGCAACAAAGTACAAAGAATAAGGGCTGTGGAGCCAGGAACATGCATTCTAATTCTTACTCAGTCACATTCAACCTGAAGGAATTTGTTTCCCTGACTATAAAATAATTACCTTATAGGTCATTGATGAAAAAAAAATGGAATTTCAGTTTGCCTGACTATAAAATAAAGAATTACCTATGGGTCATTGATGGGAAAAAAATGGCAACAATAGAGAAAATGCTTACTGTGTCTGATAGAGCAGATATTCATATATGTTAATCCTCCTGAGTTGCCATGACAAAATTCTGGCTCATTATCTCCATGGCCCCCTTCTTTCTCTATAAAGGTAACTCCTGCTGTGATGGAGCTTTTCGTGTATTAACTCATTTAACACACATATTGTCTGTCACATATAAATGCATGGATCCACACGCCACATACATAAGAGGAATATAGTAGCTTTTGGTGTCTCAGAAATATTTACCTATCCATTTCCTTTCTATAGCTTTATGAACTATATCATTTGTGATAAAACATTATGAGGTAATATATTTTAGCTATTAATGAGTTATTTCAGTAGTGGATAAAATAATGAAGTGATATATTACACAGTTTGTTTGTTTGTTTGTTTGAGACAGAGTCTCACTATGTAGTTCAGGCTGGCCTTGAATTCACTATGTAGCCCAGGGTGGCCTCAAACTCACAACAATCCTCCTGCCTCAGCCTAATGACTGCTGGGATTACAGGCATGCACCACCATGCCCAGCTTACACATTATCTCTTAACCCATTTCCCTTGAAATTGGGAGATTACAGTCCTAATCTTACTCTCAAAGTCTGCCACAAAATATCTCACTCCTATTATTTCTGCATTGCTGTAGTATTATCAATAGTCTTTGGAAACAAAAGATGTCATTCTATTAATAGCATTCTTTTTACACTAGTGGTATTTCCATTTACAAAATATAGGTTTTTTTCAAATATAGTAATTCTTGATCACTGAAAATTAGACGAACGCTGGCAGTAAGCCGCATATTTTTTCCTAAATGAGAAATGGGTTAATTCATAAAGATGGTTATTTCTCAGATTTGGCATAATGATTATCTATATCAAGTGAAAAACATACAATGTACAGGTAACTGAAAATACAGAATCTTGATTCAGTAGTCTTATTCAGAATATAATACCTAAAACAGGGTTTCTTAATCTTGGCAATACTAGCATTTTGGGCTAGACCATTCTTTGTTGCGGGAGGCTCTTACGTAGCCCTGGACTCTACCTATTAGATGCCAGAAGTCCCTCTCACTCCTCTTCTCAGTTAACAATAACCAAAAATATCCCCAGACATTGCCCTAGGTTCAAGAACTGCTGACCCAGAACAAAAAACTTAGGAGAAAAAAAAGTGACAGAGATTGCATGTGGCAAAAAAATAAAATAAAAATTTTTTAGGGGGAAAAAAGCTATATAGGTCACATAAAAATACAATTAATATAGTACTAAAATTTTCTCAATTAAAATTTCTATATCTCTTCTTCAATATGCAGCCTTTAAAGTTTTTCAAAAGTTATCTTTCACCCGGGACTTAGCTCAGTGGCGCCGTATCAGCCTGGCAAGCGCAAGATCCTGAGTTCGACCCCCAGTACCAAAAAAAAAAAAAATTATCTTTCATATTGTAAACTTTTTACCACTACCAGGAAGATTCTGTCCAACTACATTTTACGTAGTTATGGAAACTGCACATGTGGCATGCATGTTCTTCCACTTGACAGGTATACTGAGGACTTGCCTATCCCTATACTCAAGACATACCCCTCCTCATAGGAGCTATAAAGTAGTCAATTCAGATAGATATTTCATTTTGAGCTTGAAAATATAACTGCAATACATTATCTTCCTTTTATATTAAGCAGGTTTTTCATGAAACCCACTTGGTTAGAAAATGAAAGCACAGAAGCTGAATGTTTTCAAGTGAGAACCAAGATAAGTGTAAGACTCCTTTCAATTTCTACTCGAGAGACAGAAAGACCCTGAAAGTACATCCTGCGCCACTTTCATAATCTGTGATATAGACATAATTGGCTCCACTTCAAGGAACCTGTTACATATCTACTCACTTACAAGGTTGTAAGTGTAACAGAATACAAAGGAAACTACAGTTACAACTTTTATCTTCCTGGCACGATGGAGGGGGAGGTTCCCCATAAAGAAACCTTGCTACAAAAATTGCTACGAAACTTAAAATATTACAAAATACTATCATGTAAGCCAAAAATTAAGAACTGAGGAAGACATACCCTGAATAATGGATTAGCCTTTTCTGAAAAATTCTACCAATTCAAAAAAGGTTTTCAATCTTAAACAGCTGCTCCTGGCTGATTTTTGTCCAGTCCCTCTGCACGCTGAACAAACTAAAGAACTAAGCTAAGGTCCTCTAGGGCAGATATGCATCTGCTTTGTTCTCAGGGCATTTACAAACATCAGTTAAGCACACTGCGGCCTCACAATGCAAAAGCAGGCCACTGAAAAACCTAGTCAAAGCAGCACAAGTATGCCTTTAAAAAGCAAAGAAGGCTTCATAAAGGCTGCACATACACACCCAGAGGGAGAAGCAGAGCTCCTCGACTTGCAAAAAGCAAGAGTTGTACCTGTATGTTAGTGGCAAAAGCTACAGGAGGTAAACACACATGCAGGCAGGCACGCAAGCACAATGGATGAGACAAAACCCCTGATGGTTATGGCCAGAGGACCAGGACCACTGCTTAGGACTAATCTGAGTGCAGAAGGTGGGAAATTTGCCTGAGAGCTCAAAACTAGACATCATAAGCATATGGCTCTCAAAATGAGGTCTTTAAGTCTCATGTATGCTGTGGGATCGAGGCTCTTTTCTGCACAAGGCAACAGGTCTGTGAAACTGAACAAATGGAGTTTTTATGATATGGCTGATACTATGATCTCAGAGAAGCACCAAGGAAGCCTGCTCAACAGATTTTCAAGGAGAGATGACTGAACAAGAAGAGAATGTATTTTCAGCAAAGTGGAGGAAAATGCGCCCTATACAGTATTTTAGGTAAACCAATTAAAAACCAAACACAATCAAAAGCATTACATTTTCCTACTAAATGTCATTATAAGGCCACCTCTGTCTCTTTCAAATTTTGTGTAAAGATGGTGTTAAGATGGCTAGTTGGGCCAGGGATTTAGCTCAGGGGTTCTGCCACTTACCTCACAAGCAGAAGGTCCCGAGTTCGATCCCCGGTATCAAAAAAAAAAAAAAAAAGATAGCTAGGATATGGTGCAGTGGCGTACAACTGTAATTCCTGCACTCTGAGAGGCTGAGGCAGGAGGATCACAAGTTCAAGTACAACTTGGGCAACTTAGTGAGACCCTGTCTCAAAAATAAAAAGGGATGGGGATGTAGCTCAACGCAAAGGCTCTGGGTTTGATCCCCAGCACTATTTTTTTTTAAAAGTAAAAAAAGATAGCTGCCAGGCTGGGATTTAGCTCAGTGGTGCTGCCGTCTGCCTCACAAGCACAAGGTACTGAGTTCAATCGCCAGTACCAAAAATAAAAAAAGATAGCTACAAGTTCTGCTTCAACTCTTAGTGCCTAATGTGAGCACCATGGCACCTGGGTTATGCGCACACTACTGTACTTGCTAGGCCTTTCTACCTTCCACAGAAACAAATAGATTCCCATGTAACAAAAGTTAAAACCTCACTGCTCAAATTTGAAGATCTGCTCTCTTGGCAGACAGGGGAATTCACTAAATAAAAACTGCTTACATACTAATAAAATATATATTAAGCAACATCTAAGAAATAAAATGCTCCCCCTCTCAAAAACACAAAAGCAAAAACAAAAACAAAAACCCCCTACCGTTTTATGGATCAAAACTCTGGTCTCTTCCTTCCGCAGTACTGCAGCTTTGCAAGTACACACTCTATCACTGTCTAAAGCCCACGTAACCACATGAGCTTCACTTTTAAGCATCCTTTGGCTCCTTGTTCTTTGTCCACTTGGAACCGAGCCCTCTGTTCATCTCCTTTTGTACACTCATCCTTGGTGATGTAATTTACTTCCCCTGCTCAATCCAGGATGAAGAATTTAGCTACTTCTGCTCAGATCTGTAACCTGAGCTTAACACACATCCCCACCTGCTCAAGGCACCTCAAACTTAGCAAAGTCCTTTCAAACTAACATCTGCAACGTCCCTTGTCTCAGAAACCACCACTACCAGCCATCATCTGCTCAAGATAACACTAAGAAGCATCTCTGCCATTTCCCCTCCACCTTTCTCACCTCCAACACCAAATGAATCTTAAATAGTTTATCTTAAGTCCTTGTGAATCCTAACCTAGTCCAAGCTACCAACTGTGGTGTGAACCAGCTCAGCAAGTGGTCTCACTACTTCATTCTTGTTCCCTCCAATTTACTCTCCACATTGCTATCAGGTTAAGTGTCAGAAACACCCACGTAACAATCTTCGTTTTTGCTTCAAATCATCTGATGATGTCTTAGTGCCATTAGGATAAAGTTTAAATTGTTTAAGGACACTTACAAAAGCCCTACATCTGACCCTTCCTGCTTACATCTGCAGCCTCATCTCTCTACCTCCCGCCATACTGAACTCCTTTGGGCTCCAGGTTGCCAAGCTCCCTCCTGCCTCCCTCCAAACCTTCACATTAGCAGCTATCCCCTCTGCCTGGAGCCTCCAATTCTCGCCCCACCTCCCTTTCCTCCGGCTAATTATCCCCTCTCCTTCAGCCTGAATACAACTGGTACTTCCTCAAGATACCCCTTCAGCCTTCTAAATCACCCATTCACCTCTTGGAAGCCCAGTGTCCTGAAGGGCATTATCAGAATTCAAGCCTGACACACAGTCCCATTCAGTACACATCTGCTGGAGGAGTAAAAGAAATGCAGAGGAAAGTCATTCTAAATACCACGACGCGCTGAACTGCACTCCACAGGTTAAAGGGAATCTTCCCTAAGATGTTAGTGAGTCTATGCAAACCCAAAACACCCAGAGGTTCTGACTCTGCTTCGTGCTGGCGTACGGGAGGAGAGAAACAGCTCTGTCAGTGTGACTGCAATGTGGGGCACCCACTAAGTCACACGACAGGGGCTTACTTTAATAAGCGAATAGCGTGGCTGAAGCCATCACCTTCCACTTGCACTCCTTGGTGTGGGATCTCCAGATTGGACAACTGAGAAAAGACAAGCACAACCATAAGAGACCATTAATTTTACAAAAGAACCTACCCTTTCTATGTACTCCTGTCTCCATTTTCGAGCCGTCAGTTCTAGGGCCAGTCCACCAAAGTTACAACATCACCATCAGTCACGAGCAGTGTCCCCTCTATTAGATTTCCTGAGAAACTACAGTAAGCGCAGTGAAACTCAAAGCTGCCCTCAGAGTCTCTAGTTTAAAAAACACCTGAGCTGGGCATGATGGCACACACCTGTAATCCCAGCACTCGGGAGGCTAAGGCAAGAAGATCACAGAGAGTTTGAGGCCAGCCTGGGCTACATAGTGAGTTCAAGGCTAGCCTGGGCTACATAGTGAGACCCTGTCTCAAAAAACAAAACAATGAAAAATGTCTTCACAGGTGGCAAATCTTTAAAATTCAGGAGATTAACCTAATGTCTGTAGCAAGTTAAAAGTGACCCAGAACCAAATCTGGTGGTTTCCAATGAGGCAACTGAAAAAATAAGACTAGTTTTCTTGTGTAAATTCTATTGTTTGTTCAAGAAAAATCTGAGTCAGAGTCGTATCTTGTTTCTAATCATAACAAATATCTTTTAAGTTTATTCCTTTACTGAAATATATTTTTAACAGTTTTCTATTTTTTAACAATCAAATTATTTTCTGAGACCCAAGAAAAGAGAATTTCCAATTTATGCATGTACTCAACGAAATCTCTTTCCCAACTGGAGGATTCAGAAAGTGAGTTAAGACGATGAATGCAGGGATAGCACCTGAAACCCTTTCTACAGAACTACAAGTTGTTAAGAAATGCCAGCAAGTCATCTGATCTACCAAAGAAAGGCTTGCCTTTGGCAGATACTGTCATGTCTCCTTTGACAGAGGATTTATATGTACCTTGTTCCAGAAAGGATTTAAGTTAGTTAAGTATTTGACTGACTCTTTGGCCTGGGAAGGGTAGCGGTTTAGAAAAGTAGCTACTGAGCAGAGAGACAGTAGGGATCCAGATTCAAAAGAAGTGAAGGAAAGGATAGGATGGCCTCAAAGATATTGCCACTATTCTATCAATCAGAGATACAAACAGCTCTGGTAAGATCAGATTTAGTTATTCATATCTCTGAGTAAATTACTGTAAGCAGAAAATGTGCTTGCTTGTTTTTAATATAGCTAGAACTTTCACTGGGAGAAGAAAAGGTAGGTAAGTTTTTAAAACATTGACTGAATTCAGTAGAGTACTACAGAAATGTTCTTAAATGTTCTGTGTGCAGCAGGTATAGGAGTCCAGAGAAGGGCCACAGAGAAGACACGTGTCTATAGGCATTATTCTCCGTGAGCCTGCAAAACACACATTTTTGTGAAATTTAGCCTGTGGGTAGGGAGAGAGGACACAAATGCCCTGCAACGTCTCAGTACCATGTGTTCTCCCATCCCACTGCAAAGGCTGCAACGGAATGACACTCATATAATCAATCCAAGTGACACAATGAGGAGTCCAAAACCCAGGAAATGGATACTCTCTGTACAGTTTAGGAGCTGTGGCCAGTTCCCAGACAAAAGGACATGCAGCAACCTCACTCACAGTTCCAGGAGCTGGGGGAAATCAAGGGCAGAAGTACCTATTTTAGGTGTATATTTCTGGGCTTGGGTTTCTAAGCTATTGCACTCTTCACAATTTCACATTTTATCCTCTGCTTGAAGATCCCAAAGCCCTCTGAAGTGTGAGTTGGCAAATAACAATATGTGGGCCCAATTTGGCCCACTGCCTGTTTGGATAAACTGAAATTCACTGGGACATAGCTATGTTCACTTGTTTAAATATCAACTATGACAACAGCTGATTTGAGTTCTAAGAAAGATCATATGACCCACAAAGCTTAAAATATTTACTGTTTGGCCCTTTACAAAAAAGGTTTGCTAACCAATTTCAAAGCATAAAAGCTATTTTCATAAAGTCTCCTCAAGGCCATCATCATCAGCCCAATAAAAAAGTTAATTTTCCTGTTTCCAGACCTTGTCATCATTTATAGTAACTTACAAAAGAGGGAACTGTATCAAAAATGAAAACTTTAAACTAGAGAAAAATTAGGGTTTTAACCTATCACTTATAAAAGGTTGTCAATCCTTGGCCAAACCTGTTTTTGGAAATATAAAAAATTCAGGTTGTTACCTCTCTCTTTCATGTTTAGGAATTACAACTATATATTCTTTTTGTTTTGAGACAGGGTCTCACTATGTAGTTCAGGATGGCCTTGAACTCACTATGTAGCCCATGTTGACCTCTAATTCACAGCCATCCTCCTGCCTCAGCCTCCCGAGTGCTGGATTAGAGGCGTGCACACCACGCCTGTGACAAAAGTAAAAATATGGTTTAATATTCCTTCTGGCTTCTCATAAAGAAGCCCAGTTTTATTAGTGCTTAAGCTGTATGTACAGCTTCAACTCAAAAAAGGAGCCACTCCTTTATCAACTAACCAACTCTAATAGGTTTAAGTGCCTACTGAGAGACAAAAAAAGTAGGATGTTAATTCTTCAAAGTTGTCTATCTATACGTATATATATATGTATACATATATATATACGTATATACATATATAATATATATATATATACACACACATATATATATACGTATATATATATATTTTTTGTACCAGGGATCAAACTCGGGTCCTTGAGCTTGCCAGGCAGGCGGCAGAACCACTGAGCTAAATCCCTGGCCCTTGTCTATATTTTTTCACTAAGAAGAATTCATTTTACATAAATGAGTAGAAGGCCCAGAACCTGGAATCAAAGAGAAATATGTTTTACATGTATACCATGAAATACCAGAATTGCACCCACACCCTTCCAAAAATGAACAGGATCATACCCATTCTAGTTCTTCTAACTGAATCCATTTAATTAAGCAATGAACTTTAAAAATTACTTTTTCATTTAGAATATTCTGAATTATTCCAAAAAATTACCTCCAACCGAAGTCCTACGAATGGCATGTTTGTATCACACATAGCAACAAAGTGAGCTAGAACTTTATTGAAGGCACACGTTTCTCCTGATCGTTTGGTTTTCTTGGATTCTACTGGACATGAATCCTCAGACAACTAGAATTTAAGTAAAAACACACTAGGTAAGTACACGCGATACAACTCATGGCAATTAAACTACTATAACAAAGCTCAGTGTTAACCAAAACAAATGTTATACTCTCTCAACAAATGTTTATTGAGCAAATACTAACCTAAGCACTGGTAAGTTAGTAATAAACAATATGTTTAACAAGTTCTCTTGTGGAAAATGCTGTATAATTACCTAAAACAAAAGCATTTCCAAGAAAATGCAGACAATTGCTACTTAAACATCACTGCTGTCCTCTTGAAAACTATGTTTAATTCTTTCTCATATTAAAAACAGGTTAAAAAAAAAAGTTAATATATCCAAAATCTGTGCTCATTTCCATACGTGGTCATACCTTGCGCTTGGTACCAGTTCTGGTCTGTTTCCCAGGTTTCCGGAAAATCATGTCCTGAATGTTTTCCTTGAACTGCTGCAGCAGCAGTGCCATAACAGGGCCATCTTCACGATCTGCAGCACTCACAGACAGGAAGTAGTACTTGTATGACAGCTGCGTAGGCTTATTTGGAACCTCCAGCATCTCTACAACCTAAGCCCAAATCAGAAACGAGACTCAGAGAAACAAGTGTTGGGTGTTTTCCCCTTATACCAAGTAGGGCTCAGAATTATAAACCTAATACAGATGTCTTTCTTAAAGGTAAGGACAAATCAATTATGGTATCAAAAGCAGCATTCCTAGTAGGTACATAATTTGTTTTCTAAAATACAGATCAGACTAAAGAAGAATGATACAAGAGTAACCATAAACTATAGCAAATGGAATTTAAATTATTAGCATTAGGTGCTCTTGATATTCGTGCTTTAGCTTATAAAGTGGAAAAAAGTATGTCTAAGTCCAGTAGGTCTGCTATATTTTATAGACTGTATTTTAAATTGCCCTGTTGCCTCCCTTAACCATTAAAGCATCCTTAAAAATTCATTATGGCAGAGGAAAATGACAACTGTATTTCAATGGGATGTAAAAATAAACCTTGATTTTTCAAATGCAAAATATAGTCATTGTGAGGATAACAACATCAGCAACAGTTAACAGTGATAAAGACTTTACCATGTGCCAAGTACTAGCTGAAGTACCTTACAGATGTGAAAATATTTAATCCTCCTAAGAACCTTGAGAAGTAGGTATTATTTCATTTTTCTGGTGAGGAAACTAAGGCACAAAAAGCCCAAGGTCTCACAGCTAGGAAGTGATGGACTTGTGCTTGGATCCTAAGTTTGGCTCCTGTTTGGCTACACAGACATTGCTCTAACCCACCTTACTAGCTGCAAGGGCTAGCTAAAAAATTAAAGTCCCCTAGTGACAGAAATTAGTGCCATTAGTAGGCCAGGCATGATGGCGCATGCCTGTAATTTCAGCACTCAGGAGGCTGAGGGAGGAGGATTACTATGAGTTCAAGGCCAGCCTTGGGTATATGACTCAAGGCCACCCTGGACTGCATAGTGAGACCCTGTCTCAAAAAAAAAAAGAAAGAAATTAATGCCATTAGGAAAGGTTCCTGACCAACACACATTCCTGTCTCTCAAAAGAGAGAATCTCTCCCACTTCCCCTTCTCCCCATCTGTCTTTAGGAAAGCACTATACTGCTGATACACCTCAGAAAATAAAAATTAAAAGTAAAATGGACATTTCACCAAATAAGATATGGACAGCAAGTAAGCACATGAAAATATGTTCAACAACATTAGCCACTGGGGCAGTGTAAATTAGGACTACGCTAAAATACCACTGTATACCTATCACAGCAACTAAAATTGTCTCAATTAAAATACCAATTACTGGCAAGAATGAGAAACAACCTGAACTCTCAAAACATTGCTCATAAGAATGTAAAATAGTATGGTCACTTTGAAAGTTTGTCTTATAATACACATTATGTGACCCAACAATCCCACTCCCAATTATGTGTCCAAAAAAAAAATGAAAACGTGTTCACACAAAAAATACATGTAAATGTATTTAGCAGCTTCAGTCATAACTGCTCCAACTGCTGGAAGCCACCCAGATGTCCTTCAGTGGGTAAAAAATTAAGCAAACTGTGATACATTCATACCATGGAATACTATGCTACAACAAATGGAAGAAATTATTATACATACAACAGCATGGATAAGTGTAAGAGGCATTATGCAAAGGAAAATAAAACTAGACTGAAAAGACAAAACTATAGACAGAAAAGAGGTCAGCAGATACTAGTTTGGGGAGTGATTATTATAAAGGGAATTAGGAGAGATGATGGATTGTTTTATATCCTGATTGAGACAGAGGTTATAAAACTATGCATTTATCAAAACTCACACACTAAAGCCTGAATTTTTACTGTATGTAAATTATTTCAATAAGGCTGACCAACAACTATAAAATGGCACAGACATTTAAAGGGAGATCAACTGCAGCCAGCCTCACCTTTGTTGCTCTTAATATCCATTTTTATGAATGTATCATCCGAAGTGATAAATTTTCAGGATGAGGAGTAACCAACACTCAGTTTTGGTCTAAACTATGTAAAACAAATTACTGCTTTACCACTGGGTACTGACACTAAAACTTAGCTGTAGGCTGATGCTAAATAAGGCCAGAGAATTTTTTTTTAATTATAGCTATCTAAACTGTATTCTGTATTTGGCTGAGTATTCCACAGGTTTGGTTATCATACATATATTCTGCATAATCACTTTATATGGAGTCCAGGCAGTTCACTGAGAACTGAAGTAACAGTCCTTTGTTATGTGACAAATTTAGTTCCACAGCTCGTGTTTTAAAATTCAGAAAAAAGTAAAATTAACATCAGTAACAGACTCGTCAGTCTATGTAAGCAACTCAAGATCTATTGGCCTAAACAGGATATTCTTTTCAAGATATTATTTAAAAAGTACAGCTCAACATTCAAAAAAAATCATTCCCATTACCTTCAATCTTGAATTAAAAATTTCAAACACCTTAGATTCTTAACCAAAAGTATCTATTAGGTATATTCAGAAATTCCTATACACAGGGAAATATATTTAGGGTGAGTTCGTATTTCAAATTCTTGCAAATTTTAACTACCTCAAAGATCACCAAGAAACCAACTGGAAAATATCCAACAAAAGTGAAAATGGAAAATGAAAGGATTTTCCCATGCATTGAAAGGTACAACCAACCAACAAAATGGAATATGCTCTCAAACAATTAAGGACAAGAAAATAAAGGACTGCTTTAGCTAGGAGTGCTGGCGCATGCCTGTAATTCTGGCATTCAGGAGGCTGAGGCAGGAACATCCCAAGTTCAATGCCCACCTGTGCTACATAGTGAGTTCAAGGCCAGCTTGGACTGCATTATCTAGACCTTGTCTCAAACAATCAATAGCAAAAAACAAAACAAAAGCTGCTTTATGCAAGTTCATATTCAACTGAAGCCAAACAAGTTTATCTGACACCAACCTTCATAGTGGTAGCTGTCAAGTTGTTTCTTAAACACAAAAGCCTCATTCCAATCAAACACTAGGTCTCACTCTAGAAGAGATCCTAGATGAGGAATCCAGCTGCCTTGTATTCCCCAACTATGACATAACCTTCCTCTCTCCCCCGTCCCCTCATGCTGCGTTGTGAATCACTATATGAAAGTCAAATATTCAATAGAATTCACTTGCAAATTAAACAATAAATCACCCATGATGCTAACAGAATTACTGAACTTGATCCCCAACCACCCCTTTGCATACTTACAATGTAGTATTGTGGAAGTCGGGTAAGTTTAATGAACAGCTTATTCTTAGAAAGTTTTCCAATAGGATGAGTTGAGTAATTGGAAAGCTGCAATGTTTCACTGCTTATTGTAGGCAGATGTTTTATAGATTGTTTACAACGCTGCTGTCCAAGCCAAAACCTTAATTTAAAAGAGATACTTCACATCATAAAATCATAGACTTTTCTAATTAACTGTGTGCTACTTTATTACAAAGCAGACTAAAAAACAATTGATTGAAATTTAACTGAATTAACAAAAGGACACAGAACCATACTGATGAATCATTTTCCATTCTTTTATGTTGAACTGTTCTAGTTTTAAGAAGTTTAAAATGCAGTGTGAATGATTCTGATTACTTATAAGGGAAAGTTAACTGTAAGTCTGAGATAATAGCTTAGTTTATTATAGAGAATGGCAGGTTTCCTACCTTTTAAAGACAGTAAAAACTAATCTCAACATCCTTTATAAAATGTCAAAGGTGCTCATAAAACAAAACAGAGCAACATATAAATAAGCATAAAGGGACTTCATTTTCTGGTGTCACTGGACATATATAGCCCATTTTTATACTGTGTTATGTATAAAGTACCCTAGTATACCTAGCAGGTGCCAGTAAGTATGAATTACCTTCCTTCCTCCTCCCTTTTAGGTAAGCCATTTTGATTTTTTTTTTTTTTTTTTTGTGGTACCGGGAATCAAACTCGGGACCTTGTGCTTGCGAGGCAGGCGCCGGAACCACTGAGCTAAATCCCCGGCCCCATTTTGATATTTTTACTATAGTACTCCTCTCCTTTTATTTGATTATCCTTGAAGTTAGGATATCATGGAATTAAATATATAAAAATGAATAAAATAACTGGTTTGCAAACTCTCACTAATGTACAATAAAATAAGAATTTTCACACCAGCGTAACAATGCAAAACATCCAAGCTCATGATCAGTAGAGTTATTTGCCTTGTTGAATAAACTGTAGATCAGCTTGGGAGCTACTACATTTGCACGGTGAATTGTATGAGGTACAAATCATGAACTAGTCATCTGCATTCAAACCATGATAGAATACATGACATCATAAGGGTAGATGGCCGATTGTTACTAAAAAGTGCATAAAACCTGGAAATCATTTTTTCCATTAAAACATTAAATTAAAATTTAATTTTAGGGGCCAAGAATTTAGCTCAGTGGTGCTGCCGCCTGCCTCTAAAGCGTAAGGTCCCGAGTTCGATCCCCAGTACCAAAAGAAAAAATTTAATTTTAAACTTAAATTCAACCACAAATTTAAAAGATTAACTGCTAGAATTGGTTACCGATGAAGGAATGAAGACCAATTTTCAAAATGTATCATTATGTGTTTTATTTTAGATAAAAGTTATAAATCTACTAAACTTGCTAAACTGGCTTGCAAATCTACTTCAATTCGCACCAACATACCTCTGTGAGACTAGTAAATTTCTACTATGTATGTTATTAAAAGAAAAACACGAGAACAGTTCAGATAAATATTTTTCATTGTCAAGATTAGTATTATCATCAATCCAACCCAGGTAAGTTACAGTAAGTGAGAAACAAATTCATTTGCCACATGAAAAATTCTAAGTGCTGGGCCTAGGGATGTAGTTCAGTGGCAGAGAGCTGGCTTAGCATGTATGAGGCCTTGGCTCAATCCCTAGCACTGGGGAAAAAAAAACAAACCCCCAAAACAAACAAAAAATGGACCTAAATATTGATAGACAGTGGTACCTCGGTTCACCAAATTACTTCCTTCCACGATTCTGGTCAAAAACTGAATTAGATGAGAACTGACTAAAATTTCCCCATAAGATCAACACTGAACCTAACTACTGACAACATTTGGTGATGGTTGCAAAACTTGTTAAATTTACGACAAATCAATGAACTGTACACTGAAAAAGGGTAGATTTTATGCTATATAAATAATATTTCATTGGCCGGGGATTTAGCTCAGTGGTTTCACGGCCTGCTGCGCAGGCGCAAGGACCTGAGTTCGATCCCCGGTACCAATAAATAAATAAATAAATAAATACATACATACATACCAACCAACCTCATAAGGTTGTTTCAAAAACAATTAATGTCCTATGACAGATTAATGATAAACTGGGCATTCATCACAAACCGTTGAGAAGTGCTATCATAAGTAACAATCTGGATTTTTCTTACAAATAAATTATATGAGTTAAAGTACAGATATATATTTGATAAGATAAAGGTTTCTGGGAGCTTGGTTTGCTGATTTCAGACTGACAACCTCAAGTTATACAAGATGTGAATTATTAAGCATGTTAGGTATTTAAACCTTGCTTGTTTAGCCAAAGTCCACAGAAAGGATGGTAAAATACTAAAGATTTTAGAAATTACCCAGATTAATAACTACGATTTTAATATACAGATGAACTAAATAGCAATTCAAAAGAAGCTCACATATTACCTATCTACTGTCAGTAAAAAGATGCTGTTAATGAAAAATTACTTGATTACATTGAATTTTTCAAATATTTAAAAGATCATAATTGGCAAAAGAAGAGGGAGGTTAGAGGAACACAAAAACAAGATCTAACTGAATACTCCTATTTTTGTGTCTTTTAGCCTCCCCTCTCCTTTCTGAATTTGTCAGTTTGGGTTTTGATCTCTGAAATTCATTTTCACTCCTTGGAATTTTATTTTATTAATTTTAAGAGAGTTTGTTAATGTTTCCATAATGGTACCTTTGTTTACCAGGGAGAGGGGTGTGTATATGAAACCCAACAAAATTATCTTGAGCTCCATTTCCAATTTTATTTAATTTAACAGTATGAAACAGGGCCAGGGATTTAGCTCAGTGGTTCTGCCACCTGCCTCGCAAGTGCAAGGTCCCGAGTTCAATCCCCTGTACCAAAAGGAAAAAAACAAAAAAACCAAACACAGTATGAAACATTTAATGGATTTTGAGGCAAACTGAATGGTGGTATCAGAGAAGCAGAAATGAATATTTTGGCAGTGTCAGTTGGTAGATTCATGCCATGAAGATTATCCTGGATAAGAACAAATAAGACTCTATTACAGAGAACACTTGATATAAAAAATTCACTGTATAAGTGATTTGTAAGTGCTTGTACAGGAGAAAATGAGGTAAGAAATGAAAGTTGAGTGTCATGCCCTTCATACCTACATCTGCTCTAGAGGGGAATTTGATATGAAGCACCACCACCTTGGACCTATTCCAAGAGAATTTAAGATTCTAAAGGTACCAAAAGGAATTAAGGTTCATGTCATAAAACTTAAGGACAGGGACTGATCAAGAGTAATGGCTGAGGGCCGGGGATTTAGCTCAGTGGTTTCACTGCCTGCTGCACAAGCTCAAGGACCTGAGTTTGATCCCCGGTACCAAAAAAAAAATAAAAATAAATAAAAAAGAGTAATGGCTGAGAAGAAAATATATCCTGTCAAAATAGGTTTCGATTTTTAGTCTTGAGTGAAATAAAATAAGCTTACTTAAGTTGCTGAATCCAAGGAATGATCCGTTTCATGTCATCATTGACAGATTTCTCCATGTCATCCAGAGTGGTTTGGTCTACAAAATAAAGCACTTCATTAATTAATTGCTTACATGAGAAACAAAATCTTTATGTAGCCTAAAATTTACATGAAAATTGTTTTAGGTAGAAAACTATGCTATTAAGTCAGAGAAAAAAGTAAACTAAATGCAGCATTAGCTATAAATCAACTTATTGTTTTCCTTAACATCTCAGGAGTGTTACAGATACCACAAATCATAGCAAATGAAAACCAGAAGAAGAGTAATACACAAATAATTCTACTCCTATGTTTTAATTACCAAAGCTTCTACTTTAATTAATATTTTCAACTTATAAGTATTTGAAATTCATGATATTATTAGACTTAGAACCTTAAAAATTATAAAAACCAAAAGATTCCATTGAAATGTTTATCGAACACAAATGCTCTCTGGCATAAGCAAGAGCTGTTGGCTAAAGACTGGCTTTCCAAATTTTTAATGACATTAGAAAAACACTAATAAATACCAAGGAAAAAAAGAGAAAAAGTAATTTCAACTGAGAAAGGCAGCTGCCTAAAAGCCAGGAAGGCCCTCACCAGAATCAACCACACTGGTACCCTGAATTTCTAGCCTCCAGAACTGCGAGAAAATAAATTTCTAATGTATTTTGTTAAAGTAGCCTAATCTAACAGAAGCACATTTCCATAAAAAACAATTTTCTACTACTTCACTTATTTTTATATATTTAGGTTTATTATTTATGTCTTATGTTAATAATCAGGAAAACAAAGAAAAAGCTTTAAAGAGCAACTGCCTACTTGGCTTGGGACCACAGTTAAAAAGAATTCATAAATGTACCATTTGTTCATCATTTAGCCATCATAAATGTGATGTGATTCAAAGCAGTGCGTCATTTACCATGAGCAGCTCATATAAACACTTACCTTTATAGCCATACAATGAAACTGTAAAACCTTTCATTTTCAATCTCTCTTCCTTATTATTAATTTCAAATGACAAATGTGCTAATATATTCAAGAACACTGTTCCAGGAGCAATACAAAAACAAGTATTTCATCATTTCAGAACACCAACTTGGTTACAAAACAAATTTGAAATCAAACTTTCATTTCTATTGTGTTTAAGCCAAAACAAAATACATCCTTCCAAAACTGTGTACCTCAAGTCATCATATTTATACTGTCATAAATACGCTCTCCAGCGACAAATGACATTACAACCCCCTGCAGTCATTTCCATGTCCCTCAAGCATTAGTGGTAAAACACAAACCAATATACTGGATAGGTAAACGTAAAAATACCAGCCACCAGCATTATTACTTTTACATAAGAGAAACAGCATGAATGCACTTTATATTGGGAAGTTTAGTGCTCACTTCAGCAGCATATATACTATATTGGGAAGTTTATCTTCTGGTACAAGAAAATCCAAAGTAGAGTTAAATTCAAGCCCCAAGAAACAGACACAGGCCAGTTATTCCTTCCATACCTACTTTCAACACTGTATATATCATCCCTTCCAACACACATTGGTAGAACATTTTTATTTTTCTTTTGTTAAAAATATTTTTTCTTACATTGAGTCACTGTATCATTTAGTAACTTACCAAGTCCATAGAGCATCAACTGGAACATTCCAGAATGCAAATCTACAAAAATGTGCAGGCACTCCGAATTACCACAGGGCTCCAAGATGGGAACAACAAGTGCTGGAAGTGCAGTCTCTATGGAAGCTGAACAGTTAACAATTAAACATTATTTTTCTATCTGAATATTTTCTCAAAAAAATATTTTTCAGTGAGGAGAAAGAACTATTGAAAAATCCTTAATGTTAGAGGGAAAACATGATCTTGCAAAATTTGGGATAGAATTATTGTAATTAGTAGTAGTTCAAAAGGAAGAATGTAATTTTCAAGTTCACTTGAAACAAACATAGTCAACTATTAAATCAAAAAAGAAAGAAAAAAACCCTAGATTCCTTTAAAAGAGTTTAAAAAGCTAGTAAAAAGCCAATCTTATCAGTTAGCTCTGCATTCTGGTTTTATTTTCACTCAGTATATGGTTGTAAGTTAATTTGTAGGCATGTTATAATATCAATAAACTAATATCAAGTTGAAAAATATCAAGAAGAAAATTAGTTGGTTGGTAACTAGAATAAATATCATCTATAGCTTAAAGATTTTTAATGTCATTCTGCATAAAAAAAGAGTACTTTTTTCTGATAGGGCCCAGGTGTTTCAAGAAACACTGGAAATCTATTAAACATTATTGATTGCATAGGAAAAAAAATCTTTCAAGTTATCTGTGTACCTCATTTTAAAGTCATAGATGAAGCAAGAATATAGGCTACTGCTAAACACAAATCCCAAAAGCTAACAATGTACTTGATCTAGTTTCACAGTATTTCCACCAGGCCCAATTAAATTTTCCCTTAATCCCACAAGTTGTTAAAATAAAATCCAGTAAACAAGTAAAGCACTGAAAACACACTAAGTGCTGATCAGACTAAGGGTTGTAAAAGAAAGATCCTCTTACTTATTTATTTATTTTTCTTTTTTGGGATATCCAGGGCCATTGCACTGAGTTACATTACCAGCTACTTTTTTTTTTGAGCCAGAGTCTAAGTTGCCCAGACTGTGCTTGAATTTGTGATCCTCCTGCCTCAGCCTCTCAGCTCTCAGACTGCTGAGATGACAGCTTTGTACCAGCATCCCAGTTAAGAGACATCCTCTTCTTGTTTCTTTCTTTTTTGCGGGGGGAGGGTACCAGGGATCGAACTCAAGACCTTGCACTTGGCAAGGCAGGTGCAGTGCCACTGAGCTAAATCCCCTGCCCTTATTGTTATCAAGTTCCTCTAAAGCTACAGGCACAAAAAAGAAAGGCAGGCGAGGAGGAAGGAGAGTAGTGATAGATTTTTCACCAAGCACAGATTCTCTATGCTACTTCACAAGACAAGGACAGTAACATTTTCTCCGTGCCACAGGTTGTTAGAAGGAAGAAATGACAAGTTTGGGAAGGTGCTTTAAGTAGCAAAGTGAGGGATGGGGGTGTAACTCAGTGGTAGTATGCATGCTGAGCATGTGGAAGGCCCTGGATTCAATCTCCAAAAAAATAAAAACCAGAATGTTAAAAAAGTGTACATTATCTGAAGTGTACATTATTATGAATCAAAGAAATGACCCAAAATTTCTTGCAATATTTCACATGGGTGAAGTTATCATTGGTATTCTTTATATAAACTATCAAACAACTTAATAAGATAAAAACTTTCAGGAAACATTTAATTACATAAAAATAAAATTTCTTTCAAGTACATTTAATACATATTTTATACAAATGTTTAACATTCAAGTCCAACAGAAGTTTCACCTAAAAACAGAAAAACAACAAAATAGAACAGCAATTTCTAATGGGGAAAAAATAAGAACCAAGATGCATTATGTAAAGGTACAATTCCCAATGAGAAATGTAATTGTGTTGTATACCTAAAATGTACCAATA